ATTAACAATTTAATAGCTTTATCATCCAACCAAGTGATAAAAAAAATCCTGATCAGGGTGTGAATCATCCAAACAGATGTCCAAAACAAGAAAATAAAAATTTTTGTTATTTCTAAAGAAAACTAAATGCTGAAGCAAGCCTTTAAAATACCTTTCAGATTGTCTTTAAAAGGAAACACCAATTAAACAATTTAGTAAAAAATGTGTTCATAGAAAAATTATAAAATGTCCAGGTGTGTTTTCATTCCCAAACTGCTCAACAGGTGCATTTTGGGAAATTATTATCTTTTGCATTAGTAAAATATTTAACAAATGTGACAAATGGTGCTTAAAGAGATGTTTCTTACTTGTCGCACACGGAACAATGATGGCAGCGATCTGGCTTTACAAGTTGGCATCTGTCACAGTATCTGATTGCTGAGAAGAAAATTATTTTAAATTAGATTTAACATACTGTTATGCACATATTTTGACATTATACATCTACTCAAAAAGTAAATATTTACAGTCAGAACATTAAATCCCTGAACTCCCACTAAAGTGATTCAGTTTTACTTTAGTGGGAGTTGCAACTGCTAGTGCCTCTCATATGTGTTTTAAGTACTGGAAATCAAGAACATTCTGAATTTTTCATACAAAATAAAAACAATCCAAGAGTCATTTTTGGAATATTTTAAAGCTTTTTAGTTGAGGTTTTTCTTAAAATGAAATCAGCATTGCAAAAACCCTAAAAACTGGAATGAAAGGCTATACAACTTGATCAGTATTTGATAAATTAACTGATGCTTATATTATAAAAAGAAATTCAATACAGAGGTCATTTTAGGTTCCTCCCTCCCCTCCTCCTCCATCCCTAAAGAAACAAAATATCCAGAAGATTTTATTTAGGATTTGGTGATGAAAACCATTTAAATCTTAATCTAATGTCACTAAGGAAGCAATAAGTGCCTTTATTTCTTGGGTTTGTTTTTTCCCCTTCTTCCAGTTTAGTCTTCTGTCTTTTTTAAATTTCTGTACCAGAAGCATCTAGGTGCATTTATAACAGGTGTTATAGATGTAATATGCTATTAAATGTTTTTCTTTTCAGAAATGAAGGCCAAGCTAGGTAACATTAAAGTGTATTTCACCCTCTTGCAGTATTTGTTAACATTACAAACTATCAGCTTATTAAAGGTACTGCTTTTTAAATCCATTCTTAATGTTAATTAGGACTGTAATAATACTAGTGAGTCATTTTCAATCAGTCTTTAGTCAAACTGTAGGGATGATTAGAGTGAAAAAATAAGGTTAGTTTTGCCTAGCTAATATTTGGGTACCAATTAAATCTTCAGTTATTTCTTAGCATCTTGTAAATGTAATTACCATAATCATTCCCAGGTAAATAGAATCTGCATTGAGAACATGTTAAACAAAATGCTTCCGCTAAATAATAGCAATGCATCATTCTTTGGTAAGCTTATTCTTTTAAGCTCTACCAGGCAACTCATCTTTCCTAGGTACTGTCAAAAATCCTCACGTTCTACAGACAGTAATGTACTGTTTGCCCACATAAACCACAAACACTGACAACAGTCACCTCCAGACATTGTCCTGGTATATATAGGAAGGTCCTTGGCAGCTCTCCTTAAAACATCTTGCTGGACTTCACCTCTAGGCTCCCTCTCCAGCAGTTCTTTGTCTGCATAAGACAGATGGAACTGGAAAATAATGCATTTTTTTAAATTAGCAATGCACTAACAAGCTACTCCTTTATGGACTGTCTTGCCTTACAACAAATGACAAAACATTAATTAAATTATGATCAGGTAGTGATACATGCAAAATACTGTGGCAAAACCCACTGTATTCACCCAGGAGGCATGAATTTAGGCTTTGGTGTTTTTAACTAAAAACAAAAATAAAAAAAACCCATGACACATTTAAGTAAAGGGCCTGATCCTGTCAGGTATCAACTTAACACTGACTGTTCCCCCTATGAAAAATAGGAACGGCCTCCCTTCCCCCTCCCCTAATACTTAAAAGAAAGATAAAGAACAAAAAAAAAAAAATCATATCTGTGTTCAGAATTCGATCAAGCTCATTATTGCAAGATGAAATTCCTATGAAGTGCCCTTTCCTTCTTTGGGCAGTATCTTAAATCAACCTGGAACCTGAGGCTGGTTTAGTCCAGATTCTTAACAGTGTCTTCCTGACAGCATGACATTAATGCTTTATATGCCTCACTGACTAAGTATGCATTTCCAAATTGAATTTAGGCCTACAAAGCTTGGAACCTGCCTAACTGAAAGACCATTTTACCCACCATACAGCACTGGCACAGCTGTTGCCAACAATTATTTTAAAGTCTTGTTAATACAGGAAACAAAGCAAGCACCCTCATGAGGATTCCTTAGCTTTGGAATGTCCTGCCTCCACCTAAAAAATAACTCTAATTCACTGACCTTCAGGACATTATCGGGCTCACATACAACCCAAGCTTCTGGAGAAAACATGTATATCCTTTTTTAAACTTACTTGCCTATCTAAACCTATCTAAACTCAGAGGACTAATGGACTAATGGTAATTTGTAGGATTAAGTTACTTTTAATTAATTAAAGGAATGTTGCACCAGTAGATCTTCCCTTCAGTTTCTGCAATGCTAACGAAGAACGTCACTACATAATGTTGGCACTATAGTTCAAAGAGAATATTTTAACAGTAAACATGGCTTTCTAATACCCAAGTTTGCTACATTTAATATTAATTTTAAACTCTTCAGTAGTATTGTAAGGCTGCTTTCTAACCTTGACATAATTAAAGATTTATCATGCTGGCACTCAATAGCAGGCTTTTCTCAGCCTCCTTAATTGAAATCAGTCTATGGTAATTTGAGTCTATAGTAATTCTCTTCTCTAATTATTTCTATCATGCATGATCTAAGACTTGAGAAGAGCATCAAATTAAAAAATATTCTGGTATAATAATACTGAAATAGATTTTTTAAAATCAATATTCCTCCTCCCAAAATTCTAAAGATGGCTAAATAAACGTACAGAAAAGACACTGCTGACTATATTACTATTCCATAAAATGTTCACTGTGCCTGTGTGGGGAAGGATGGTTAACAAAGAGAAAAAATAGCAAACAGCCTTAATCAAAAAGTCACAAAGAGCCTGTGCATAATATTTATACTGTATTTGATAGTGCCCTCTCAGTTTCTCCCTGTATAACTCATGTCATTATCTTGAAGCTGATGATACTTGAAGTGAAGCTGAACAGGAACTAGGTGGGTCCATGACAGAAGCAGCATGGGAGCCTTGGTTATCTGAGAATTAGGAGCAGAGACAACATACATCTCTACATTCATCCTACACTATTCAGGCTATTCAGGCATGGGCATTCTATTTAATTTTGTTGGATAGTGAACACCTGCTGAGGTAAGGGAGAATGGGGGGGACCGGATAGAAAAAAGGGAAATGGGAGTGGGTGCCAGAGTTTGAGGGGAGGGCTTGTTTTTTTACCCTTGCATGCCAAATACTACAGAAGACTTTGTTGAATTCTATTCAACAGTGACGATTATTTATTCACATTTTCAAGTCTCATGACTTTACCAATATGCTACATTCGATATGCAGCTAAGCTATACACATGCCAGTTACAGGTGAACCTCAGCAGCAAAATTAAAAACATTTTCTTTAGACCGTATAAGGCCATCTGCTCCATCTTTATATACTCACAGTCAACTTCATACTTAACCAATTCCTCTATACTTCTATGGTACAAGATAGGCAGAAACAAATCAATTTAAACAATTATTAAGAGTTTCCTACTACTGAATTTACAGTCTAATCTAAGCTCACTAAACTCTCAAAAGAAACTGGCAACCTCAGAATTTATAAATAGTATTCTACACTCATTTTGCAATGACTGACTAAACTTGATTATGTGTGCTCTATTTTCAAGAGGGGCATGTGGGGACAGACTGGGAACAAGATGTAGTAGGAGCAGATGCTCCTGCCTGCATTTCGTTTTGCTCCTTTCCCTTCCCAGCTCTGCTCCTCTCCCATATTGGCTGGCAGTTCATAAATGGGAAATGCAGGCAGTAGCTTACAGGGGGACTCTTTAGGTTTAGGGCACAGTTGCACTTGGCTTCTGTAAAATCTGCATTTCCTATTTACATACTGCCAAGCAACGGGGGAGGAGAGCAAAGTGGAACATGGAAAGGAAGGGAACAGAGTAATACAGGCAAGAGTGCCTGCTCCCACCAAGCCACTTCCCATCTGTCCTTGTGTGCTCCCCTTGGACACAGAGACATGCAGGGCAGTTCCACCTGGTGGCAACAGCCTAGAAATAAATTTAGTAAAGATGAGCCTTTACAATGGTTCTCAAATGGGGTGCCATCATATTCAGGGAAGTAACTGAGCAGTGCCTTGAATTCAAAAGTTTGAGAAGCAATGACTAACAACATTTGCAACTGCATTAATAAGAAACAAAAGATTGAATTTATCCCAAAACTTAACTTACTTCTTTTGAGGGATTCATTGGTAATGTGAAGATTGTTTTCCAGTAAGACCAGACAAACAGCATGACAAATATGTGGTATGCAATCAGGCACACAACTAAGATAAAAGATGAATATAATTAATCCATTATAGCAAAGAGAGCCATAACATTTAGTCTCATTATGAATGCAAAATATGTATAAGCATCACAACCCTAAAGATGCTCTAGCACAGAGGTTAACTTATAGCATATAGTAATTAAGATGTACTAATCCTTCAAAAATATACAAACTTACTACTGAAAAATGTTAATATGATTCAAATGATAAATGTTAAGATGAATTGGGATAGTGAAAAAAACAACCAAAGAGACAAGGTTTCAGCATGTTCCTGGGTAAACTTGTAGCTAGCACATATTTCTTTGCTGCTTGTTCTTTCCCTCCCATTCAGTTCCCTCCCAATAAGAGATGTATAATGGCTGCAAGGGAAAAAAAGAGAAATCAAGTCATCTAAATTTTGCTTCATGAACTTGTAAATCATTTTAATATACTGTATATGTATATATGCACTGGATTTGATTGTAATCCTTAATATGTCCTACTTATTTATGCTTATTTTGTCTTAAAGGATAGTAAATCTTTATAATTTGCCATCACCCACTGTTATGTCCCACACTCTGTCAGTATCTTTGGTATCTCTTGTCTTAATGTACAAAATACATCACTACAATTAAGGACAATTCCTAACTACTGTGCCCACAGCAAGCAATATGGCCACATGTGAGGTAGATGTACAAGAAACAAAGAGGTAGTTAACCATGTTGGCGTGAAGTCAGAAAGAAGGCAAAGGATGTGGAACTGTTCAGGGGTATGTATAAGCAAACCACATTTTCTGATACATTTGAAAAAAACTGCACTAAAGTAGATAAATCAACCTGTGGTTGCCTTAAGCAATAGATCTGTTCTCCAAATTGTCAAACCCTTAGCACTTACGGAGTGAAGAACAATTAGTCATAAATCCGTGGATTTTCTCAGCTGCCTAAACAGAAATGCCACTGTTGCTGAGAGCAAGAATCAAAGCGGAAAAGTCAGCTTCTTACTTAAGATGTACTGCAATTTTTTTTTTGGGGGGGGGGGGGGGCGGTT